AGGATAAATTTCGGCCTTTCCATGGAGCTAACTTCTTTTTCACGGATTCCATCATATTTTGCCACATTGCAATTCTTTTATGATTCCCCCCAATGAGGATCCCCAGATATTTAAAAGGAAGATCTTTTCTTTTGCAGTATAATTTGCATCCCATTTAACAAAAAATTGTTGGGCAAATTAGATAATAAGATCTTTGGATAAAGGACAATTTATTTAATATTGAGGATCCTCTCCTGTTCAAGAGTTTTTATTTTGTAGTTTAAATTATAAAATAAAAAATTTTATTTTTAAAGTTTAAGAATTTTAAATTTAATAATTTATGCATATAATTCAATAAGTCAATTAGTAAGTTGTATATTCCCATTCTTAAAAGATTAGTTTAAATCCTTGACCTCACACGGAAAGAGCCTTATAATCTACTAAAGAATTATATGCGATTTTCATCTTTTTTAGGATTCTTTTTTTGTTGCTATTTTGCGTGCTATATCTTTTAGACGGCAGAAAAAAGTGACACATGTGATGGGGAATTAGCTTTGTTTTGAGTAGTAATTGTATGGACTTTTTTCAACAACATACTTAGTGTAGGGAATAAAAAATTATTAAGAATTGTTGGCGGGTTGTGTGGTACACAGTGGTTTGGTCCCTTTGGCTATGCAATAATGATGTAATTTTTACTAGTCAAGGGATTGAAGAGGACAGGCCATTCGACTTAGTCCAAATAAGGTCTTATCTCTTGTGGAAATCAAGAAGTGAAGAATTCAATTCCATTTTCTTTATGGACTGGTGTTTGCAACCATGAGCAGTGCTAGCGGTACTTGCTTTTGGCACTCTCCGGCCAACACTTCCCCTTTCATTGGGCCACGTAAGCTTCGTTAAAGCCTTCAGCGCAACCTCTCGGCAACCAAAATAACGTGGCCCAATAAAAGAGAAAGTGTTGGCCGGAGAGTGCAGGAGGCGAGTGCCCCTAGCATTGCTCCTGCAACCATTGGAGGTTCTCAAAACAAGGGGCTTCCAAGGCACAAGGTGAATGTTTTGAATATTCATGGATGTAATGATATTAATGCCTTTTGTCTACTGACTTTATTTTGGGAGGTTTAGTGTTGTAATTTGATAAATTATTTATAAGGGTTGGAATATCTTTAAACTTTTATATTAATATTATTTGCTTAGCCTTTAAGAAAACAATCCCCTTATCCCCATTTTTCCCAAGTAAAAAAAAAGGAAAAAGAAAACCTAATAAGAAAGATTTTCTTTTAATAATTTTTTTAAAATAAAAATTTTAACAAATGAAGTACAATTAAATGTCATCTATGCATAGAAAAAATTAATTAGATCGATATCATCCGTAAACTAAAAGGTCGCATAATATATGGAAAGATGACTCATATGACACCAATCACAGTGGAATTGTGAGAGAATACAATTTGGAGTCTCTTACTAGCAAGGTTTTTAAAACTGGACCGGATCGGTCGGTTGAACCGATCGGACCGGTACCCGGTAATGAAAACGGCTCGATTCACATAAAAAAACCGTTTAAGGTCAAAATCGGTCAAAATTGGTCAAAATTGGTCAAAAACTGTTTAAAATTGGTTAAAACCGTTTAAAACCGGTAAAATCAATAGAACCGATGGAACTGATAGAACCGAAAAAACCACCGATTCAATTTCTCATGCAATTTTCTTTTTATTTTTTCCAATTTCACTCTCACCATTCCTTTTTTATACCGATTTTAACCCTTAATTTTAATGAAATTACAAAATTACTTATCCCTCTCATCAAATTTCCCTTGTTATTTGAACCGATTGGTTCATCGATTCAACCGGTTCAACCGGTCAAACCAGAAACCAGACCCCAAAACGGTTCAATAACCGGTCCGGTTTTAAAAACCTTGCTTATTAGTTTACTCTTTTTTTTTTTTTTTTTTGCCCTTTTTAACTGTGAAGTGTTTTTTAGTCAAGTGGTGCATTCTTTGATATTAATTTTTTATTAGTTATCTTAAGTGCGTATCTTCTAAATTGACGATCTTATTGCACTAAAAAAATAATTTTTTAAAATATTGGTGTTAAAACTCAAATTCCAAACTTAATATATAAAATATCATTTATTTATTAATAAATTAATTTTAAAATTGTTTATTAGTTTTTTTTAATACATCTAAATAAATTATATAAAAAATAATAATTTTTTTTAAAAAAATATCAATTCTTCACCCGATACAAAATATAAATTTAAAATTTCTAACTTTAAATCTCAATCTCAAATATTTAACAGATTGGTTCCACCACCTTCAAATTTAAAAAAAATTGCCAAGTAGTGGTTCACTACTACAACACCGTAGTAGAAGTTCAAATTATTATTATTACTTTTCAATAA